TTCGTCACTTCGTTTAAAAAACTACCAAGGGTAGAAATGCCCTGACAACGTAATAAAAACCAGTCCTTCAAGAGAATAATACGTACCATGGAAATATTTGATGAAGCAGGCTTGAGCAACACTACGATTTAGCGATTTACGAACACATACTGCAGCCACGACTTCCAATATTATTTTGAATACTTCGTCTGAATTTCCACTCAGTAAAATACGAACGTCACTTCTACAACTTTACCGAGCATTTCTTATGCCCCTCTCCCGGCTTGAGAATGCAAATCTATCATTATATGCGTTTTTATGCAAACGCTCCTACAACATTTGCAAGAAGATTTTGTATTCAACCTGCTGGTAACCTCGCTAGTCACCAACATTGGAGGTGAAGAGAGTCGAATTGTTGGTCCCTTATTGCACCTCGGCCGGTTGCTGTCTAGTCAGATGTTAGGGTCATTGCTGGTTCTGTTTTTCTTAATGGTTTGTAATGTGATATGAGTCCGTATTCCTCTTCCCTTAAATATTGAGCGCGTTGGAGTGCTAGCCGATCTCGAACAACGAAAGATTCTATTATTTGAGGTCACACAAAATGGAAGGATTATTGCCATAGGAAGGATAGAATTTTCTATTTAGTTTTCATATTTTTAATGTCCCGAGTGTTTTTTTCGTCTTTAAAATTTATAATAAACCTTCGCTTGTCTACAAGTCAACTCATTGGTCCTCCTCGAATAAACTAACCGATGCAAACGAATGAGGGCTACAGCTGAAATAAATTCATAACCGAACTACTTAAAGATTCATTAGGACAAGATCAAACATCTATAGACCTATAAGTACTATAGAGGATGAGGTGACCATCATCAATGGCCTGAGCCCCTAAACTCCACTAAATTTCTCGTTTATTCCGCGAGAACTTAGGCTACCATCACGGATACGGCCGAAAGTCAGAGGAAGGTTGCTTGAATCCAGATGGATCAGGCCCGTGGTGCTACTCAGGAATCCTGAAACAGCTGAGCAACAAATCTCTGTAAAAAAAGGAAAGGAAGCCAGTTTTTACCTTTCAGGACTGAAACCAATTTTTTTTGTTACAGTTAGCATCAGTACACTTTGCTTGACAGCGATGTAGGCTTGCGCCATAAAATCCCTATTAGTTAAAAACGGAAACTGAAGCATATTATGAAATCGGGCAAGGGAACATCGAAAAAGCCGAAAAGAAATATCGAAAACCTTGCAGATACACGAATGATTACAGGTGTTATCGGGGCTGGCAGACATAAATGCACTTCTTGGGGTATAGCACAGCCGTCGATTTAAGCAAAAGCATGCTGTGGAAGAAGCACTTAAATGTCAGCTGTCTTCAAGAGCCAGGTTGAATGTCAGCAAATATGTACCACGTGCTAGATCCAGCAATGCAAACTTCTGTATACAACCGTTTCTGAATTATGCGCAGTAGGAATGGGACAGTGCCGATTGTTAAACAAGACGTCAAAATGAAGTCGTACGGATAGCACTGTCGTGAATTATTTTATACTGGTCCAACTTTCCATTAAAATCCTCAGCAGATGTGGATATAACGATATCGATAGACAGAGCTTTCCATAATTCAAGCACTCCGATGAAGACGAATTTCCGTATGTCCGAACTAGCCCATTCACACATAATTTGAGTGAATGCCCCAGCAGGTTCGTTATGTTTGCTAACTGAAAAAGTTTCCAGACACGAGTCAATAGCTGTGACCGTGCATAATGCGGAAAGTGTGAATCAGGTCAGTGTTTGTAGATCAAAGGAAATTAGATTAGATTAAACAACCTTCTTTCACAATAACAATAATAATAAAAATCTGCTTAAGCACCTAAGGCGTCCAGTCATAGCAAGTAAAAATAAATTGCTTATGAATTTTAGAACAAGTTGGCAGAATCTCCAGAGTATTCATTTCATGCTTTTCGAATAAGCTGTTTGGTCAGAAAAATGATTAGCAAGCAATGAAGAATCTCTTCTACCTAATAAACAAAATCGATGTGACTGGACTAACTTTAAAGAAGAAAAACTGTCGCTCATAAAAGGACGAGAATGCGAGGAGGACCAGCCTGCGTATGGTAGTGTATTACGAAATCTAAACGGACATCGCAGGCAACCGAACTCAATGAAGTGTAAGTTGGATGCGCAATCGCAATGAGGATAGTTTGTTACCGACTCAAAATCGCTGGATGGATGTTTTTTAAGAGTGATGTTAGTAAATGAGGAGACGTCGTATGTCGTCCCATCGAGGAGGGAGTGCGAGAGATCGTGTTGTTGGCGGACCTGGTCGTTATGATCGACGCAGGCGTTGGCAAGTGTGGATGAAGCCAGAGATCGGTGGCGGGGAGCATAGGCAGACTGGTCATCGGTGACGGGTGTGGATGTCGCCCCATCGCAGTTTCAGTTTTCAGCATTGCGTGTATGCTGAGGACTCCGGTCCCTTCCAGGACTTCCGTGTCCGGCATCTGCTCCTGTCAAATCAATTTTAGTATTCTGCAAAGGTATTTGAGATGGAATTGGTTGTGCTTCCTGGCATGTTTGAAGTAAACGGTCCAGGTTTCCGCACCGCACAGAATGGTCTCCTGGACGACGGCCGTGTAATCTTCAGTTTGGTGTAAAGATGAAGGCTATGGTGCTTTGAAGAGAAGGCTGGCAATCGGCCGAACGCTTGGGTGGCTTTGGAGAGCTGACGGGCAACATCGTCGTCTATGCTTTGTAGCACGAGAGTTTGATTTCTAGACAGGCAAAGTTGCCGATGGTTCTGTGTTGACTGATGTTGACATTCATTCGAGGAGAGTTGTATTCCAAGTTGAGTGACAGTTAGAGCATGATTATCGGCTTGTTTGTATTGACGGTTAGTCCGAAAAGATGTCCGAAGAGGTCCATGGTCCGCTGCACGCTTTCTATAGTCGTGATGTTGAGCGCGCAGTCGTCGACGAAGTGAAAATTGTGGAATGCAGTCGTAAATGGTCGCGTTATGACCGTTGTGCGCCTGATGTTGGTGACATGTCTGTCAGTTCTGTATGTGATGGGTATTCATAGCGCTAGCCAGTATGTGCGACCATCAGCCCAGCAGTTAACTTAAGGCTGAAGAGGGTGGGCACGAGTACGCAACCCTGCTTCATTCCATTTGTCCTCGTGAATGCATCGGAGATTGTTCCGTTGTCCGTAACGCGCGCCATTATCACGCCGTCGAGCTAATATAGCATATAAATGAATTTTTTAGGATAGACGAACTTCTGTATGCTTTTCAACAGCCCTCAAGATTTACAATCAAAGGATTTCGTCAGGCCCACGATTATGGCTAATGGATGAGTCTGCATTTCTGGCAGTCCTCTTGTTGCTGGCGGGAAGCAGAGCTTATGCCGATGGTCTCGCGGCGTCGTCAGAAGCCGCAACGGCATTCCGGCAGCCGTGCTCACTCCATGGGGCCCCTGATATGAATGAGGATAAGTCAAGCCAAGAATGTGACATCCCATGAAATGTTTCTAAATCCATATATATATTCATTGTTTCTAGCTCTTAGTCCAGAAAATTATGGCAAGCCTCCTGAAAAACATGAATCAACTGCGCGATCGAAACGTAGAGGCTAAGCAGATAGACTGAAAATCGGCAAATAGAAAACACCCAAATTTACTCAACTCGAAAAAAAAATATAACGGTGACGCAGACATCAAAGTTAATAAATTTCCGTGAGGACATAATATTCATGACGTAAAAAACAACCAAAATGCACACTTCAATGCTTATGTTATAAATATCGTCCTTTTAAAAACTTTTGCGATTATTTTGCCTTGGAACTCAAGGCTTATTCAACTTTAAACAAACTCACAATTCGCGATCTTTTGGCTTAACAGACACCCAAAACAAATGAAGTCAAAGTGCAGTCGAAATGAATGAGTTTGTTTTAGGTTTTTTCCTGAGTTAAAAGGGGACTGACAGTGCCCAAGGTGGGCTATCATAAAAAACCTCCTTTATTCACAATCTATCTTCCTAGTGATGATGAATGACGAGATATCTCCGTGGTTATCATAAGGTTGACGGTTTCCGTTCGGGTTGGGTAACCAAACAGTCGTCGACTGAGAGACCACCCATAAAGCACACACAAACACTCCTCACATGCATGAGAGTGCCACATCGTTTGAGGAGAGGCCATGCCAGCCTGGCTCTCAACCCATCAGTCCGCCACTCCGCATAACACACAACTGGGCAGACTTTATGGACTGAGATGGGACGTCAGTTGGCTGCCTTCCGAACCACGGCGCTCGACGCACCGTCTTCGTATCAAACTCCAATCACACATGCAGCCGGGGAACCGCATGGAGAAGGAGCCGAGACGCACACTTGCCACTTGCGTGGGAGGTGGCAGTTGGGTGCTTGTGGTGGGTGACGTTGATGTGCAGTGAGATACTGGTGAGGGAGGATTTAGTGGTGTGGAGCAGCTGACGGTTGTCTACCGTAGGTTTTCGTGGACGCGCATGTGGCCTAATAGACCCACGCAGTGAATAAATGTGCGAGTTCAGTTTGGACAATGGAGGCAGGTGTGGCGAGTGTAGGATGGTGCTCCAGGCACTGGTCCACCAGTCTCTGGTCGATGGATTTGCAAGTGAACGATCAGGCCGATGTTTGAGGTGAAGGTACGGCGACAGTGGGGACATGGGAAGTCGGCGGTGTCAGTATCAGCTTCGGTGACGGAGACGGTGGAGCTAGTGGTGGTGGGATGACATCGTGGGACAACTGTCCTGTCTGCCTCAGGGTATAAACGATCGCCTGATGCGCCTCCGCCTGCCTCTGGGGAGGCAAATTCGCCACCATCGTCAGTGTCTACGCTCCCCCGATGGCCAGTCCCGACGCTGCAAGGAACAAATTCTATGAAGACCTGCACGCCCTCCTGGCGACTGTGCCGAAGGCGGATAAGTTAACAGTCCTTGGTAACTTTAACGCCCGCGTCGGCACAGACCATGATGCCTGGAGAGGAGAGCTAGGTCGCTATGGACTTGACGGCTGCAATGAAAAAGTCCTCTTCCTCCTACGAACCGGCGCAGAACACCGCTTCATCCCGACCAATATCCTCTTCGGCCTCCCGATGCGAGAGAAAGCTATCTGGATGCACCATTGGTCGCGCCAGTGACAGATACTGGCCTGGAGAAAGTCGAGGAGATCCAAGGGTACGCGGACCGCAACGAATAGAAGAACTTCTTTGGCGCAACCAAGGCTGTCTATGGTCCGCCAATTAAAGCAACTGCACCTCTTCTCAGCGTCAAGGGAACCAATCTACTGACTGAGAGGACGCCGATTCTGCAGCGATGCGATGAACACTTCGGAGGCGTCCTAAGCCGCCTCCCCACCATTCCCGATGCCGCCATCGCCCGTCTGCCTCAAGTGGAGACCAACGCCGACCTAGACCTTCCGCCCTCTACAAGAAAATAATCAAGGCCGTGTAACAGCTATGCAACGGTAAAGAGCCTGAATCAGACGCGACCCCTGCTGAGATCTTCAAGCACGGTGGCCCGCAATTTATTAAACACCTGACGGTGCTTTTCCT